TCTCTCTCTCTCTCTCTCTCTTTCTCTGGCAGTACAGTAGTATTGAATACAACCATGTTTTTATTTCCACCCCTCGATCAACCCCAACCGTCTTTCCCATGTTCTGAGGTGTCGCGCCGCTGCAACTGCTGCAAGCTGAGATGTGCGGAGCTCCCTCTTCTAAGACGGCAGGCGCTACACTCTGCGTGTGTGTGTGTGTTCCTTCTTGGGGATGTCGCCCTGCCGATAGAGATGCCACTAGTGGACCCTTGGAGGACATTCCATACCGTACCGTAGTAAGCGATATCCAAACATGAAACTTATCCAAGAGTGCAGTGCCGCCGGTACGCGCGGTCGACAAAACTTTGTGTTTATCGTGTCCGCATTTTATTTTGTGCTTTTGCAATTGCAAACCACTCACCATACCCCCGCGCGAAAACAAACACAACACGCCATCGCGATGTGTGTGTGTGTGTGTACTCGCTCTCCGAGTGCAGATCCCGCGCCGCCTGCATGTGCGTGCACAACCCTTCGCTCCGCGGCGCGTGTCGCGAGGCCCGCTTGCGATCGCGATTGCACACGCCACACGGGTCCCGATGCCTGATGAGGTTATCGACGTGGTTGCGCTCAGACAATGCGGCGAGCACAACCAGCAGGACCCATGGACCAGGGATGGCTGTTGTTGTTGTGGTTGGCTTTTGTCTTCTCCGCGGGTCCGGGCCCGGCGGGCTCGCCCGCGCCGCACGCTGCCGCTGCCGTCATGTTCCAGGTGATGCGGCACGACATTCCTCGCGCCCGCGGTCCTTGCGCCGCCGCCGCTGCGCTGCGTGTTGTTGTTTGGCTGACGTGAGCAAAAAGGCTTGTGGCCGCGGAGCTGCTGATAAGGCGAGAGGTGAGTCAAGTCCTCCCCAGGTGTGGCGGAAGGGGAGGAGGGAGAGGGGCAGGGCTGATGCGTGAGGGTGACGGGAAGGGGAAGGGGGGGCTGAGGGAACGAGGGCGACTTTTAAACATCTCCCGATTGTAGGGTGGCTAGAAAAAATCATCGAAAATTTTTGTTGTTGCTGCCGGAAGGGCGCCACACTCTTAGTCGTAGGATTTCTATTCGCGGTATACTACTACGTACTAATACTGCGTTGGGGTTGACGCTGATGCAGCAAAAGCTTCGCGCTTTTCCATTTTGCCTCGTTCGACGGCTCGTCCGCCCTGGACCCGCCTGGCAGCACAAAACACATACGGATGCGTCAGCGTGCCGAGCGGAGCGGCAGTTCGAAGGTGTCAATCCCTGATCGTAAAAATCAACGATTCGGAATGCAATTGTGTGCGCCCCTGCCGATGCGCGCGCGCTGCCCGCGGAACAGCGCAGCAACTCACTCTAGCTCCGGCGGGTCGCCGTGTTGAAGGGAGAAAAAACACAAACTTTGTTGGAGAAGGCCATCTTTATGAACTGGAAAAGTGGCCTAAAAAACATCCCGATGCGGTGCTGTAGCGCTGTTTTTGAACTACTGCAGCGGGCGGCGGGCAGGGCGCACCCAGCCGTGATAGACGACGTTTTCATTTAAGCACCAACGACGACCGTTTGACTTTTCGCTCGTACGTGTTCACCGAGCGCGCCGGGGATTTAACTTTTTCCAAATCTTTTCGCGCGCGATTTTGCCACAATGTGTATAGGGGGATGTACAGCACACTGTGATAAAAGAGGAAAATTAAAATCTGCGAGGTCTTTGCTTCTTTATGCTACTTCCGGAGGACCACCCAGCCGGGCCACTGCGGGACTGCGGGTGCGGTGCGATTAAAGGAAATGAAAATGCGCGGGTGCGAACTCGTGAAACTTTGCGTGATGGTTTTTTTCCCTCGCCAACTTTTGATCGGGAGCCACAAGGCCGACTGCCAACTGCTCCAATAACCTTCGAGCTCCGGGCCAGCCGTGTTGCGGACGACATGCAAACAGACGTCGGCCCAGCGACCGTTGGGAAACGCATTAGAGCCCCCGTGCCCCCGCTGGCCCCCCTGAGCCCCGGGCCAGGACCCCTCGAGGGCTCCCGTGCGGGTCCCGGGGCTCATAGGGGGCTCCCAGGGCAGGTGGATCTGCTTTGGGGAAGGTCGCGGACGGCCGTTGGAGCGTAACGGCCAAACCGAGGGTGGGGGCGGG